CTTTTCGTTATGTTTCGATCGCGAATCGATGATGTCTGATTTATGTCCTTAATTAAATAGGTTAGGAAGAAGAAGAGGCAGAGCGGATATCTCAACGTCAACTGCGTATGTAGGAAAACTCAAAATGCACAGTGGAAAACTTCGGTCCCAAAATAGCAAAACGTAGAAAAATGAAAAGAGAAAAGCATTTCCAGAAAACGAATAAAAAAGAACACAATATAAATTCAGAAAAATCTACTGATAGATACGTGGTTTATAATGAACATTATATTCATTCAACAACAGAAGAAGAATGGATTCATTGCATGTAATGGCAAGGGTGTGCCCATGAAAATTGAACCAGTGCGGAAAAGGAAAATGATACATTCATTTGTGATTTTGTTTACAAAATAATATATATTTTTATGTTTATTTACGTGAATTAATAATTTTCATTTAATAGAAATAAAGAATTTGTATTTTTATATGATTCTAATTCGGTGTTCTGTTTTATCCTACCATTTTAGCGAAGCGGATATTTCAATACTTTTGAAAAATTGTATTTGCCTTCATAACTAACTATTCTTCTTAAGAACATCTGTTATTTCCTTATAGCCTAAGGCGTATTTAGGATTTCCAAAAAAGCGTCTTTTCATGCGTTTATTGTTCCAGATACTTTATTATTACGATTTAAAGTAAAGCGTTCCATTTTGCTTCACATTTCCCTATACGATGTTCTTGTTATGTTTTCATCGACATTAATATTACATGCATTATGTTAAAGTACTTTCCATATTATTACATAATACAGACAGTTTCTAATAAGTATTTTAAATATCTTTATCCGGAGATCAAATATTAGAGAATAATACAATTCAATTTTGACATCAAAATTCAATTATTTTCTACAAAGGACACTGTCACGCGCTGTCACCGTTCGGATAACTTGCAACTTTACTTCTTCCTCACCTTTTTAGATGATTTTTAAATATCTTGTAGAAATCGATATTTTGAGCAACTTTTCTTCTTACAAAAGTGTCGGACTATTTTAGATTTTGAGATATTCATAAAACGTGCCGGTCTAGTGCGTTGAACGTTGTCGATGTAAATACATATGTATATTTGTAACACATTCGCAAGTATAACGGGCACGTTCATTACTTGACGATCTGTTCATATCCGTTAGAAGAAAAACATCACTCCCGGATTACACGTAAGCAGTCATTCCTCGAGTCAGTGTTTTCACTTGGTATCATGCTCAAATTTAACGCTTTCACTTATTGTTGTCGTTTCTTACAATACATAAAAATGACTTTCATTTTTTATTAGATAGTAAAGATTGGTGAACATTAGCGAGGCTGATTTGTTATAAATATATCGGCAATTAAAAGAGTCCCATATTTTTGAAAAGTTGTTCAAAACATTGATTTCTATAACAAATTTAAAACCCACCAAAATCAGCGAGGAAGTAGTTAATCCATGAGTTCAACCATTGCTGCATTAATGCCAGATACTCAGTAAAAGGAATTGCACGTAGAAGTGATTTTGAGTTAGCTACTGTTTGGTTACTGAAGTCGATAATTGCTCAGATTGCAAGAATCTGTCGATTCTTGAGTATTACATATTTCATTTCTGAAGAGCATATTTACTATGGATCATTGATAAGTTATACATTTTGGAAGTCATATAAGATCATATTACTTAAAATCTTTGTATACGCATATGCCGTATTACCTATTTAAACACTTTTTCTATGTGCATGTCAGCAAGTATGTATAAGCAATATTTTGAACGTTTCTTTTAAACCAATAATGTATTTCAATTAGTTTGTGTTTGTAACTGTATTACGGAATAAATAAAAAACAATAATCAGGGTGGGGCTCAGTAGTGAGAACTTCAACAAAACTCTTAACGTAGGTAGATCAGTAACGATCGAATCCTTTAGTTCCTTTCTGTGGCACTAGATGGTCGCCGTAGGTGGACTTTCTGTCATGAACATACAAAATTACTTCTACGTAGCTTCGAGTAACTTCTAAAAAGAATGTGATAAAAATAAATTTTTGTAATTATATTTTTCTATCGTATATTTTCTTAGGCATTTTATCAGCTTTCGTGCTGATAAGATATTTCCAATGAACTGTGCTTGCACTGTTCATAAGTGTGAACTATATTTCTTCTATTATTTACTTAAATACTGGCTAAGCAACAATGAAAGTCGATAAACAAATGTTCTAATTGTTTGTTGCTGTTATGTAGTTGTCGAGAATATTTAAAATTATTATAAATCCAGCAATACGAACGCGTTAAAGAAAAATTTGTAAATAGAATATTTCGCTTTAATTACCATTATATCTTTTTCAAAATTAAATTTTATAGTATTATTTTTCGCAAAAATGTTTAAGGGTTCTGTTAGTAATAACATGCGCCGTTCAAAAAATTCCCGGAAAATGTAAATAAAAAGACAGCAAATTGAATTAAACGCTTTATTTTTCAATATATGTATATCTCATTTAAATAAAATATTAATACATCGTAAAATAAAGCTCAATAAATTTACACAGATACATGATTTAATTATAAATATAGTATTCTATAATATTTACGAATAAAATCCATTTTTCAGAAATTTTTTAAATGCCTCCGGAAACGTATACTTCTTACCGGAATTTTTTATTATTGGTGAAAAAGTAGATGCACCATACAATGATGATTTGCAGTGCCTTTAAATAATTTAATTTGGTTTTCTAATCTTTTATAAACCGCGGAAAGTTTTCATTCAAGTACTGTAAATGTTGTTATTATGTAACGCACAACATGAAGATTAATTGACTTCAATATATTTAACATTGAAAATCCCTTAAATTACTTTACATTTTCATATTTTTTCTTCTTGCTAGAGCACATTATTTTTTGATATAAATATGATGAATAGTACACTACAAAAGTTTAAAAGTCATATGAGAGTAAACCGAACTTTTTTTACTTTACGTCTGTTATAAAGAAAGCTAATTGTAAGATGCAAAAACACCACAACATCAAATATTATCATCTCCAGTTTAATGAAAGAATAGCTGTTAGATAGATTGACAAACACAATAGTTGTTTATCAGCTTTTAATTACTTCAGATTTATGATATTTGTATACTCGGAGTGGGGTCGATATTAATTCCTATAGACAATAGATGTCCAAAATTATTATATTTCTGCTCTCGAATAATCCAAGGAATATAAATTCGTAGGTTTCTAACATATTATTTGCATTGATTTATTTATTAGATTCTTTAAATACTTGTAAGAGATATTTTTCTAAACAGAGTCGGTAAAGGATTAATTTTCTTGTTAATTGCCAAAAGTGTAGGACAGTAAAAAATAATGATAAGAAATTTTCTTACACGTATTACTAAGTAATTATTGGGAGCTTTTTCATTAACCCTTTGCTGTATGAAGTCATCTCTGATGTGACAACACTATTTTTAAACGTACTTGTATTTTGACATTATGGATTCTTTCTGAACAATCGTTTTGTTAATTAAATTATAACCTTCGATATTTATAAACAATTCCTGTGTACCAAACATGAACTACCAAAACCAGAAAAATGAAATCAGACTTTACCGAGAACAAACTAGGAAAGTAATTATTGTGTAAAGTTAAATAAAGTTACATCTATTTGGAGCAATGTATCATTTCGCAATTATAAATTATGTTCCTAATAACTTAATAAATCTTTTTAGATAATTAATAAATATAAAAATATAAAGTATTAATAAATAGTTGCAGTATGAAGCGTTTATGATATACGTTCATTAGCGATTAAAATTTTGCGATTTCTTAAAGTACTGCTTATTTCCATGGTGAAAATATTATTGTTACCTTGTTGTTTATTTCTGTAGTTTATTTCAGATGCAAAGATGATAAGTATTTCAATCTATTTTTTGCAATTCCTGTATTGCCAACTTATAGAAATAATATTATTCGTACTGTTGAAATATATGGTTTCAAAATTTATAATACTTAACTGTAGTGTTCAGAAAAACTTTTCAGCTTTTTAATCTCTTAATTTCTTATCTAACCATTATAAGGTATATAGGCTACTCCTATAGAATAGAGTACCCAGAAGAAGGGTTTTTGTTAGAAATTTTCCAAAAGTTGTTTACGTGAAGGAAAAGGCACAACGCGATGTCAAGAACGTTTCTTCAAAGTTTTGTTTCTTCATTATTATTTTATATGTCAGAAATAAAGTATAAAAGAAAATTGAACCTTGATGACTACAGGAAAAATGATCTACATTATAAATTTCAATCGACATATCAGAACTTAATATGTGATTTAATGATTTTGCACAGAAATTTATGGCTTATTACCAACAGGAAAAAAGGATTTGCTTTTCAATTCTTTAGCTACGACGAAATTAGTCATTCAAAGCTATATCTCTGTACGGCAAGGTTTGACGTGATCTGCGTATCATACATGTAGCACTGCGATTTGAGACTGATAGAATTTTCCACTGTGCAATTACGTTAGATTAGACTATAATGTGCACAGCTATCGATGACAGAGGAAAAGTTGAGCCGCGATAGTGGCGTACTGTTCAATAAGATGATGTACACGAAAGCCACTATGGTGGCGTATAGTAGCTAAAAGGTTAATTATTGAATTATTATTTTCATTTTTCAGTTCAGGAAAAGAATCTACGTTTTATCAGCCGGCTGTTCAGCCGTTACAGCGAGCAGTAATTGTTTTTCTGTCGTTCCCTAAATGACTATATCTAGTTAAAAATTAGAATTTACAAACAATTTCATGTTTATGGATAATATCTGAAAATTGACATTTATGTTATTTGAGAATAAAAAAACTTATAGTGGAAAGTGTTTCTCATAAACGATATAATAAATGTACTTAAAACATGACAGAAATTATACCGTAACAGATTAATAGCGATAAATATTTATTTATATTATTAAAATTTAATTATGTAAAGCAAAATTGGTTTTTATACTTCTTTCGGGAAATACAAAGAGATTTTTTGGTCAACCCAATATGACATCACTGAACGAACGATAAGCAATACTTTATCTATTACTTTTAAAATAAATACGAGAATGTGAATAATCGCGCAAGATTATGCTTAACATCAATAGATCAAAATGTTACTCATTCAGTTTGATAGACGTTACAAATAAATTTTTTTACAGCAGTTTATTTACTTGTCGTATTATTTAAGACTAAGCGGAAAACGTATTTAGCATATTACTCGAGCTAAATTACATGGATGTGAACATAAATGTTATAGAAAATTTTTCGTTTACATGCCAGAGAGCCTATGTTGTTCTGAAAATTAATCAGCATCAATTGTATTTAAATTAAGGGTATTACATATATATGTATAAAGTTATTCTGCTTTTAGGACAAATATTTCTGTTTTGTGCAACAAAGAATTATTATCAAAGAAAATTATTAACTTTTGGAGGAATGAGAAATGTATTATTTTGCACTAATAATTCAATCCCTCTTTATTTCTCCTTTTTTCACTATGGCTAATGCAGAATCGAATTATCAGTGATTTAAAAGTAACAGAGTTGTACCCATTTTTCGGTGCTAAAACTTTAGCGGTGCGACTATTCAAAGGGAATTCTGTTCAATCAATTTTATGTAATAGTGTTTTTTATACCAGTAGTACAGTAACATAGGTTAAAATATGAAAATTGTTAGTCTCTGCACATATAGATAAATTAGGTAAAATATGGCAAAAAGTATTGATTGTATAGGAATTAGAAACCAAAAGAGAACTTAACAATATGTTCTACTGTATTATATAAAATGTTGTAGGATATTTCATTATAATAGATAATTATTTACCTTACGTTACTAAATAACTTAAATAAAAGTACATTCATCTAACGAATAAGTAAAACTATAATATTTACTATTATGACAGTAATATTATGTTCTATGCTTTTAAGATTGCTATCTGAATTTTGTACTATATATAAATATAACATTTATTATATATGTAGGACCCTCTAAATGTATCCCTTATTCAGAATTGTACAAAAAAAGAGAATAAAGTTGCACTGTTTTAAGGACCAGGATAGATTCTTTTACTAACGGCAGTATTTTACGAGACGACAAAGCGACCAACAGTTTTTAACACGTTAAGTGCTACGAAAATCTTGACTGTTTCTCCGTAGAGTTATTCTTTTGTAGCAAAGACAAGCAGGAACAATTATTCATTATTTGGCATTATAATTCTTACATTACACTATTATCAATTTAGTTACGTTATTAAACATTTTCATTTAACATCGGTTATCTTGCATGTTACGATTGTTTTCAAGTAATTCAAAAACGTCGGCCATAGGTGACTGACATGGCTTAATGTGTTAAAGTAAAACCTTATGATTAGCATTTGATCTAGTGATATTTGTCTGTAAATAAAATTTCCTTTATGTGCCCTCTGTGCATATCGTTTCTTCTGCCTCCCGAATTACGTGAAATATCTACTATATACTTGCTTCTTAACGTAAACATTAGATGCTATTTCAAGGACTAATTCAGCGGAAGATCGACTGGCTGTTGTTCAGTTTCATTTGAAGTGTATCATATTGAAGAAAAGAAAACGCATTACATACATAGTACAAGACGGATACTGTATACATGTATGATGAGAGCCATCTGTGTTGCGGGAACATTACGCTTGTACGCGCAGAAATTTCGAAATTATGTTTGTTCCACGTATCATGTATTTTCGGACGTTACAAAATAGGTGCTTTCGACAGATCGGTAATGTGGACATCAAGGAATGCAATAGGATAAAAACGACAGTGAATGAGGAAAATGGTCGAAATTCGTCGTCGAAGTGTTCTGCGTATGCTAAAAGTGGCAAAATTTCATCCATATTTATATTTAACACTAAAACTACCAGACGGGTCAAAATGAGTCCTTCTTGATTTTTTCTTTTTGCAATTATTGAAAATATAACAGATGTTTTTCTGAGAATGTATTAAAGAAATTGATTTGGCAACACGCAAACTAAATTGTAAATCAATTAAAGTCTCAGTAGATGCACTCTTGGAGTTTCTGTAAAGAAATTTCAAAAAGTCGATGTAACTGCTCGGTAGTTTTAGTGTTAAATTTATATGAAGTGTTCATCCTGTACTCTTTTTGCAAATAAATGCAAAATCAATTTCCAAGCAACAGAGAATTTCCCAAGGTCTTACTCACAGATGAAGCTTCATTTACAAATAATAGATAAATAGATTCACACAACATACATTGAGCAGACTATTCGACATGTTCGAAGGGAAAGAATATCTACTTAAAAATCGTTAAATCGTACGACGAAATGCTGTGTCTCATTCCCTTAACGTTATCCCATTCAATTTTTGTCTGTTGAGTAAATTAAAATATGTAATTTATCGCCAGAAAATATGAAGAAGAAAGTTACGGTTGAACATGGATTCACAACATGCCATAAAATAGACATTATGCTTCTATGAAGAACTAATTAACCGGTTAATTGTGCCCGACGAGTATACACGTCATCTTAAAACGCAAAATGGTACTAACTTTTTCAACGATAAATTATTTATTTTTTCAGATAAACGTGTGATTCTTCTTTGTTTCGCTCTAATTTTTCGTTAGGATAGATTATAGATTCATTTTCCTTGTGTTCGTCAAATATACACTTTATTATTCGATTTTATTGCGTGCACAATGAGAAATTTTTCAAACTAAATTCCACAGTTACCTGCTTAAAAGATGTAAATTGTACATTGCAGCAACTAGCCATCATTTTGACCGTACGTTGTAATACAGTAAATTGAGAATTAAATGCGTCGTAGATGTGCGCGCGCGCATGTGTGTGAGAGGAGAAGTGTGAGACAATATACATGAAGGATATGTCAAGATTTTATTTATGTAAATATCTCAAGATTGAATACCGTGTTTGTACGATCTGCACACGTTTATCGAGAAATAATCGTAGGCCTCTATTAAGAAAATTTAATCATCAATACACAATATGTGCTTCTTGAAACAGTGCAACTACGTTCCGAGAAGTTTTCTTCCATAATAATAAATAAGAGAGGCATTTAAGTGGTCTAATTTAGGTGCACCAGCCTCTCTACAGATATATTTTCCATGGAAATAGTAATGGATACGATCAATTTTTCGTATTTGAATAAAATATTTTACAGTGATAATTAAAACAAAAAATTGTTTTGATAAAATAAGTTCAAATAAATAAGGAAAAATGGATGGTATATATCGACATCATTTAGGAATGCACATCTTATTGCATTTTTTATACAAATCTGGCTTCGAAAATTTATGTTTGTTAAAGGAATTTAGGATATTTAAATAATTCGTCAAAATCCTCTTCATTCTATATAAAAAAAAGTCTTAAGCTGATATGGTCGAAAAATAGTTATTTCGCGAATTGTTTTGAAAAAATATCTTTATTAAAGAACATGCTCAAACGTCTTTCTATCGTATTCCAAATATTTTATACAATGTTTATTAATCGTTCTTATAGCCGCCCCGAGTTGATTTCTTATTATTGTTTTGCAAATTGCTTTTATTTGTTCTTTTATGTCCTTTACAAAATGTTGAATATATGAGTACGCTGTATTATTCAGGATATCTCATAGAAGAAATCTAAACGATTCAAATCGGGCGAACTGTTATAAAAACTATTAGAAAAACAAATAATAACAGAGAAAAGGCATAAGAAGTACTCACTAGTATGTAAGTATTTACATTCTATGCGTTGATAGAGAGTTGATACCCGGGATGGCAAGAGAGATTCTCGCGGTGTATTTTGTGTATGGTACTGGTTGATTATTCTGTAACCAATTGACGAATAGCACATTAGTGCCGCAAATACGTGTGAGAAGAGACGTGCCTCTTCCTAATCAGTTTAATCAAACCTGTATTTCTTTCTAGTGCAGACGTTTCTTTCAAAATATCTCGCGAAACAATCGTTAACCGTCCACGTTACCCCAACACTTCTCTACGCGAAATGAAACAAGAATTCAATGCATACAATGAAAGAGGTACGTTACACTTTAAAAAAATAGTATGACTACAATATGTACGTGCATTATGGCACAGATAAAAAATCAGCAATCATGAATGTATGCGAGACACTGAATCATTTATTTTGGTCCCGTTACATTTGTCTCTAACTTCAACCAGAAGAAAAATATGATTTGTTTCAGTTGTATGAATCACCCTATGTGCACAGCAGATCACTTCAAAGAAGGATCTTCATTTAAACAAACTAACGTCATTAGTCTAGTGGGACATAGACGGTATTGTATGTATATTTTAAACTATTAGCATCTAAGACTATAATAACAGGAGATTTGTACAACCACCGATTAGAAAAATAATGTATATATAATATACAAATGACACAAATTTTTTTAACGAGCTGCTTATATAACAGTATATTGTTAAATAGTTGCATACAGTGTGTTATGTTTAATGCGAAAGGTTAAACGTTTCCGGAATATTCGAACTATGAAAAAAATGTTCATACGATACTTGTTTGGTATGAAGAGGAATATTGTGCGGTTTAAATGATTTTTATATAATACTACATAGTTTGAGAGATTTCAAGGCGAAGTTAATTTTTTTAAATAAATCTATATTTTTTTCGCAGTGTTATAGGGGGTGGTGAAACAAGTTCAACGATATGCTACATTATGCCTTTCCATGTGGTAATGCCATAAATAAATTGGGTCCTGTTTTCATCGATGCGTATCTAATGGTGCCGGTTAGCGGAACGTCTCGTAACTTTACTACGTATTTTCTTGTACCATATTGTTTCAATTATTAGCCAAATATGTTTACAATGATAAATATGTTAATGCTCTAACAAACATAAAAAATTGAATATTATTTAGGACGATGTTAAAAATTTATGTTAATTTTCATTTTCTACTATTGAAAATAATTCTTTTCACTTACATTATTCTTCGACGCATCCGTCGTCGTTGAAGATCCATTACAGCATTAACATTTTTTTCATAGCAAACATATTTGACTGGTATTTGAATTAATATGGTACGAGAAAATACGTGGTAAGGTTATATGACGTTCCGCTAACCGACACCATTCGATACGCGTCAACCAAAACTAGATTCCATTTATTTATGGCATTACGACATGGAATGACGTAATATGGCATATCGTTAAATTTATGTTAACACCCTCTATTATGTTGCGAATAAAAAATTATAGAATCTTACTTAAACAAATTAACTTGACCTTAAAATCTCACCTGCTACTGCACTCTTATAAAAATCATTCTTATTGTATAATGTTCTCTTTCATATTAAACAACTTTCGTACAAACAACTTTTTTATAGTTTCAATATCCCGCGAGATATTCAACCTTTCGCATTTAAACGTAAGAGCTCGTTTAACAGAAAGTAGCAAAGTTGCAATACGCATTTAAATTTATTAATTCAAATAGAATTCGAAAGTATGAATGTATAGATACCTATACCTGATCTGGGATTAACAGTATTACAGAATATTATATATTATTTTTATTAGCTTTTCAATTAGTCATATGTTACTTTAAATAGCAGTAAGCAGTTTTTATTAATATTAAATGTTGACTGCATTATAAAAGTAGAAGCACAACAATTTTGAAAATGTTGTCATTTCGGCTGCTACACATAGATATATTTTCACATACAGATATTTTTCCGCGTCGTTAAATTTCTACATACATATTTTTCAGTTACATACATATGTGCCTTGACTAGTCAATGCTGGCCATTGCCGACAATGTGTTTGTCTACGTATCCGTTATGAAATGTTCATAATCAAACGTCGGATATGTAATTATACGCGTTGACCTTTCAAGTAGAATTATAACATTTGGATCGGGCTTCGGCCTAAAATTTGCCACAATCGTCGTTGGCGATGATTATTCATGTGTTCTGGCATTAGATTTGATTTCCTTGCCAACTAAACGTTAAGTACACATTATATATAATACAATAATAACTCGTGTACTATAAAATCAAGTGTTGTGCTGAAATCATTTATTTGGATTTCCTCGAATAATATCAACAGAAAAAAGTATGAACATTATACGTGAAATCATTTTATACCATTACAAAAGCATGATACGTTTCTAAAAAACATGTCTTTTTCATGTCAATACTTTTATTACTCAATTTTCTCCAGTTTATATATTTTTAATTAGTCAACGTGTATACACTGTTTTTTAATCAATTGTGCATCAACGATGCGTTATCTATAAACGCGTATTTAAATGTTTCTCATGTGTTTAAACAATGGCGTGTAATATCGCTTGACGTTTAAAACGTACGCGCGTGCCGGAAGTTTTGACTCCGTAACTCGTCGGTCGTTTCAGATTGAAATTTAGATAAAACCGCACAACGTATATTTCTAAATATTTTGTTTGTAAATGAATAGATGACACAGTCAGTGGAAAGACACTTCGAACGCTTCCTTACACGAATAAAGAGACGGAGGTTAACGCATCTCAAAATACATTGTTTCGAAACATTTATCGAAAAATATAAAAACTACATAAATTTATTTAATTGCCTTTAAGTGTTCGTATTAGGTTAGAAGAATGATTTTTCTATATTTTTCTACAAGAATAGATTATATTAGGCCATATTTGTGTACATGAAATACCAGGTAAAATAAAATATTGTAGCATTCTGGTGAGGATAACTTCGTTGTTTACAATGTACGCATCAACCCACACAAGAAAAAGAATGTACTGTATGGCAGGTGTGCCGATTTCTGAGTCACAACTGCCAAGTTACATAGTCGCGAGACGGGAGAATTGTTGTTTCAAGAAGCGTTTCTCTTACCTCGTGGTATCCGCCAAATCTAATCTTGTCACTTGTCAATTGTGTTGAGTTGTGATACGAATCTGTCTGTACAAGTGCGAATCTTCCACCGTGTCGATTAATCGAATAAATAATAGAAGGCTGTTAAGAATACACTATACTACACACTGTTAAATGATGAATTATGAATATCGATAGACATTAATAGTACATAGTGGTTACAAACGAATTGGTTAAAATGGAAGAGGCAACAAAGGTTAACCTACAAACTAGTTTCGTGTCACAGTCGGTAAGAAGACGTTCGTCTTGTACGATAAGACTTGTTCACTTCGTATCACAACCGCATCCTTGCAGGTAGACAACACCTGGTAGGTATCTGTTTAACCAAGATCCATTTCACCTGACTTTCTTAATCAAATACGAATACGGATACGGATACGGATACGAATACGAATACGAATACGAATACGAATACGAATACGAATACGAATACGGATACGGATACGGATACGGATACGGATACGGATACGGATACGGATACGGATACGGATACGGATACGACTACGGATAGGAATAGAAATATATATAGAGTGAGTAGTCAGGATCAGTTGAAATGACATGAACGACAGTTTAGAACGTAACTACGAAACCATCGAAACGCGTGAGCAAACGTGTAACTAAATTAATAAATCAAATAGTTGATAGAACAGTCCCCTACATGGATGAGTAATCCTATAAATAAACGGACAACTGTCTAGAATACGTAAATAAGCGGATAGCGGACTAGTGAACGATTACGTTCATAAGCGAAGTGAATGGGAAGATATACAAGATAAGTAGATAAGTAGAGGAATACATGTATTGAGGCAAGCGGAGGAAACGAGAGAATGCGATAAGAAGGGACGAGTCGGAACCGAACTGTTGGACAGATGGAGGGGTGGCGTGGAAGAAGAAGGAGAAAGGAAAGCAGGCGGCAAGAAGCATTTTCCTTGGTTGCCGTGGCGTCGATATACATATCAGCAGTCGGCGAGAGAAGTTCAATGTGGCGGTAAAAGCGGACGGTAATGCAGATTGCGGGCTAAGTTTTAGACATTTCCTGTTACCATATTCCATTACAAACGTAGATTCTGCGTTTACCGGGTTCGCTCGCAACGCATCCATTCATTCCACCTTCGATCATTTTCCCCTACCAATGTCTTTCGATTCATTTCCTTATGCGAATTAACGTATTTGAAAATTGGAGTTACTAGTTGTTTATTTTTGTATCCGCCAATTTTACCGTACTCGATACTATTATCATGTTCACAATAAATTACCAACAGAAATCGCCAAGTATAATACGTGTTACGTATTTACGCATTTACGTATTTACATTCAATACTGCATTTATATAAGTATAGTAATAAGCAGAAAGGTAATTGAGTTTGTTTTAAGAAAATTGTGAACTTATATTTTTGACATAGACGAATGGTTCAACGGATTGATTATTTTACCATTAATTTCTCGAAGTAGAAATGTATGTTTGTATATAAAAACTACGTAGGACTCATTTAATGTTTGTTACAATACTACATTCGAGTATGCGTTGTATTTACATGTTGCGAAATATAAAATTTTATTAAAAATACCGACTACAACACTAACAGAGCCAAGTAAAGGATTTTCTTCAGTTGTTTAGACATTTAAGAGTTTGAAAAGTTACATAAATTGTGTATAACATTTAATCGTTATCGTGTCGATTATTAAATAAATTCTAACTACAGTAAAACGTAGCCGAGCTAAAACGAAAAGTATACGTCTATTAAGGCTGGTTACAACTTTGATAATACGTGTAATACTTTCTTTTATATCGACATGAATGATCGTTACGTTACTTATAATTATAAAGTCAGTAACATGCAAGTTAGATACAAAAAATAATCGTAAAAAAATATGAGCTACGATACCAGTTTCGTAGAGCAGAGTATGATATGGCCAAGATGGCCATCGACAGAATT